TTCATGAGTCTTAACCTTGGCACCTTATATCTCTCGCCTCTGTCGGACTGCTTTCTCTCTCTCCGGGCTTCCTATCCGGGCTCTTGCCGTCCATTCTCTCAGTATATGGCCGGGGCAATTACACCCTAAAGTCATTCACAAGTTGTGGTGCTGCCAATAAAACCATAAACGTGCTTTGAACGCAGGAAGTAAGATTACCCTGCTCACATTGCTGCTTTTAAACCCACTTTTCCCCAACTTTCCTCCGCTTCCTACTCCCCGTGCGTCTAACAGTATCCGTCCTCCCCTCCTGGAGAAGCAGCAGCTTTGCTCCAAGCGAGGACACTCAGCTTTCGGCACGATAGGCTTTGAATGAGAAAAGAAAAAAACAAGCTTTTTAAAAGCCCGACTATCCGTTTCCTCACCTTGCGGCCTCATCCAGGGGAAGAGCTGCGTTGGCGAGGGGCTCTGCTCGGTCCCCTCTGCGTCCTCGCCGCCGATCCCCGGCGCGCTCCCCAGTTTACAGTCGCTGTACTGGACCAGGTCCGCGTCCTGTGCGCCGAACAGCGTCTGCCGCTGCAGGGCGTCGTATCCGTAGAAGTTGCCCGGCTCGCCGTGGCATGTGACCGCGCAGGGGCTCTGCTGGTACGGGTTGCTGGGCAGCGTGGAGGCGCTGTGGTGGTAGAAGTCCTGGATCTGCGGGGCGTGCTGGAAGGTGGCGCCGGAGCCCGGGCCGTACACCACGGTGGGCCGGCTGCCGGCCAGGTCCTGCGCGAACCCGCACTCGTAGTAGTTCGGGCGTAGCGAGTCCCCGCTTTTGTATTTGGAGAAGAGCGAGTTGACGAAATATGAACTCATCTTTTGTGTCGGTGTTTTATTGTGGTTTCAGTTTGTGTTCGGCTCGGCGGAGTCAGAGCGGGACTGCAGGAAGCGATCCGCGGCTTTCAACTCTTTTCTCCGCTCTTTTCTCTTTTTTCTTGTTGTTGCTGCTTCTATCGTGCGGTTTGAGGCAGAGAAACACCGACACACGAAGAGACACGGAGGGGAGGGAGGGAGAGAGAGAGAAAGAGAGCGTGAGGCAGGTCCGCCGCCGGTGTCGGGGACCGTTGTTGTGGTTTTTCCCTTCACGGCCGCAACGGACGAGCGTTGTGCGTAACGGCAACGGCAGCCGGCCGGAGCGGTAACAGCCACAACCACCGCGACAACAACAACAATCACGCCGATTCCATAAAATCTCCAGCGAGGAAGAAGAAGAAGAATAAGAGGAAGAATAAGCAAAAGAGGAAGAAGAAGAGGAGGAAGGATAAGAAGAGGGAGAAGTGGAGGAGGAAGGGCTCGTGCGCATCACAATTCCGGTGTTAGCGCTGTAAGCGGGAGCCCTGTCGCGCTCTCAAACGGGTATTCCGTGATTTACTCCTCTGCAAATGAGTTGTTTCATATTTTCTCTCTCTCTCTCTCTCTCTCTCTCTCTCTCTCTCTCTCTCTCTCTCGCTTGCGCGCTCTCTCACCCTCTCCCCTCTCTCTCTCGCTCCTGGCCCCGGTGTGTGTGTGTGTGTGTGTGTGTTTGTGTGTGCGTGTCGGTTTCAGGGATAATTTGCATCTATTATCAGCTCTTCATCCCATTGGCTTTTCCACGCAAGCAGAAAAACGTGCACAAGCGCGCGCGCACAACCACACACATCAAGTCTATTACACTTTCTTTTCCTTTTTTTCCTTCTCTTTTTTGTTGTCCAGCGCACGCGCCTTGCAATACTAGATGATAGTCTCCCGGTGTCGGCTCGAGGAAGCTCAGCGCGCCTGCGATAATGCAAAGGGAGTGAGAGAAGGGAGGAGGAGAGGATAGGAGGAGGAGGAGGAGGAGGAAGAGGAGGAGGAGGAAAACAGTCAGTATCAAGCGAGAAGGGAGGAGGAGTGTGTCCGTGCCCGTGCGTGTGCGTGTTAATGAGAATTTTGCCGCTTTGCATCTGATCATGTGCACACACACACCAACTAGCCAACCAACCAACAGAAGAGGAGATGGAATGTTTTTTTCTTTTCACTTTTAAAGTTAAATTGAGGCTGGGTAATGATGATGATGATGCTGGTGGTGGGGGAGGAGGGGAAGGAGGGGGAGGGGGGGGGGGGGGGGGGGGTTGTATTGCATTGAGAGTATCTCTCGCATTAATTGCTCTTCCTCATTTCTCTCTCCCCCCCGAATCGGCGTCTGCACGCGGGAGCGAAGGGAATGAGGCCCGAAAATGTCAGGCAATCTGCGCGTGAGAGCTTCACTCAGACTGAGAGACTGAGAGAGAGAGAGAGAGAGAGAGAGAGAGAGAGAGAGAGAGAGAGAGCAACGCTGCCTAATTGGTATTGGTTTTAACAAGTACCGGCCTATAAATGTAATTGAGGTTTTAAAACCCCGTGTTGTCAGACTCGTTCTCGTCCTCTCATTCCAACCCGACTGCTGCTCTCACACACACACTCACACGCACACACACACACACACACACACACGCACACACACACACACACACACAGAAAAAATAATATAAAAAAATAGACGAGCTCCGCGGCCGCGTGCTTTCTGATCATCTTACATTTTCATAAATATGATGTCCATAAACACGTAAGGAGGACCAGGGAGGGTAATGGGCTCGGGAGAAAAGTGGCTGTAAACGCTCTAACAAACCGAACAGCTCCAATAAAAGCGGAGGGGCAGTTGTTTGTTTGCTAGTTTACGCCCTCGCAGCAGAGAAACAAAAAAAGGATTTGTTTTGCGTGGAGGCTGTAAACGCCTCGTCCCTGCCCGGGTATTTAATTATCTTCTTCTTTTTTTGCCAATATTTTCCTTACTGCTTGTGGTCCTTCCTGTAGGTAGAAGGAGGGGTTTTCTACCGTTGTGAAAAGGTTAAGCTCGGCCTTGTAGAACAGCCGGCGCTCGTAAAAATAAAAGTGAGATGGCCTAAAGACCTAAATGTGGGGCACTTTGTACCCAAAACAGGCCTGGAAGTATCTGATCAATCAGTTGTGAGGTATCGGTGATGGGGGGGTCCAGCAGACAAGATCGAAACCGAATTGTCCTCTGTTGATAATTCTGTTTTGGAGCTGTTCTTCACGTCCACGGTGCGCTCACATCAGCCAAATTTAAAAGATGACAATACCCGAAAATCCACTTATTTTATTGAGATCACACAGCCCTGACACAAGAGGCCTCATATGTTGCCAGCACCCGCCTGACTCACACAAACGCGTTGTGGTAAATCTGCTGATTTTACGCACCCGACTTTCTTGAGGAGTAATTGCCGCAGTATTTATTTATTTATTTATTTTCCAATTAACTGTCCCGGAATATGATCTTTTGTTGGAAACTTCACCCGCGTCGTGTTTTATGCTTCTAATAAAGTGTTTTCTCCTTATGACATCTGTGGCTTGTTTGTATGGTGAGATGTGAATGTGATGCGCCCCCAAAAGAGTCAGTTATCGGGTCATTGCAGAATACACACACACACACACACACACACACCGCAGCGTATACTATATATGCTGGGTGTAGCTACTCCTCACAGTTTTACCCATCAGGAAAAATGTTGTTGGCACTCACTCGCTCTCAAACGGGTAAGGTGCGACCGTCCTTGGTGTGGAAAAAGAACCATTTCCTGGCAGTATCCTGCACGTCTACGGGTTATTATTGCCCAAGGCCTCAACCCTCCCCCCC